TTTGTCAGAACCTTTCTGATGATGTTCTGACCAGGAGAAGCTGCCTGAATTCTGCTGGCTGTACTCCAAATGGCAGTGGCTGAATAATTTTAGCCATACCCAGACAAAACATTTGTTCAGTCACTGTGCAGTGGTCAAGCTCTGCAGTGGCCTTGTTTGCCTTGTATTTCCTGTGTAAGAGAGTACTGGTTTAAATTAGGTGAATTCTGTGCAATGTAGTCATTTTAAATGACTCAAAATAATTCATAATTACTTGGGCAAGATAACATGAGAAGGCCGTGGTGAAAGGCGTCAGTTGCAGCAGACAACTGAGTGAAAACTGGGATTTTTCTAAACATTTTTTTAGAGCAGGGCTATTACTAAATTGCACTTAGAGTTTCAATATCGCTCTGCTTGCCATTTTTGTATAACTATCAACTTCTGTGTGGGTTTTATGCTGCTGTTAACTGTGAGCCATTATAAGCAGGGATAGTGTAATTTTCTTTGGAATTAACACCTTTTTGCCAGGTCTAACAAGGCTTTGGCAGAGTCTCTGGACAGAGCCAACGACCCCTCGGATCCCATTGTGAACAAACTGCTGCGCTCCATGGCCACCCACGCCATGTCCAACGCCCTGTACTTCTCAACTGGCTCTTGTCCTGAGGAGCAGTTTCATCATTATGGTACCTGGTCACTTTCCTGCCTTTTCTGTGATTTCTGAACTGTTGAGGGAGGCTTTGACTGCTCATCTGTGTTCCTCTCTCCTGGCAGGGCTGGCCCTGGAGAAGTACACTCACTTCACTTCTCCCATCAGGAGATACGCTGACATCGTTGTGCACAGGCTCCTGATGGCAGCGACCCTGAGGGGCACCACGGGGGATGTGAAGGACAACATCATCAGCAACAAGGACCTGGAGGAATTGTGCAGACACATCAATAACAGGAACCGGGTAAGGGTGTCCTTCTGGAGTCTCCATGGTGCCCTAGGGAGTGAGATACCATTCCTGACTGTGGCTTTTGTGAATTAAGAGTATCATTTTACTTTATTTGTAGTGCTTTGGGGTTTTTGTAAATATTAGTTTTCTACTGAGAGTGGTAGTAAAAGTGTTCATACTTCACTTGCACTGCACGTAGGATTTTGTTTTAGATGTAATTTTTCTTGGGGACAGATAAGAGAATAAATAGTGGGAAAAAGCAGCTGTGGAAGTCAAAGGCAGAGATGCTTGTTGGAATATTTACATAAGTTTTTGTCTCTGTGGCTGTGTGGGGTGCTGCAGGCAGCCCAGCGTGCTCAGAAGCAATCCACAGAGCTCTTCCAGTGCATGTACTTCCGAGACAGGAGCGCCGAGAGCGACGAGCGCTGCGTGGCCGACGGGGTCATCTACTCCATCCGCACCAACGGCGTGCTGGTCTTCGTGCCGCGGTGAGCCCGGGGCTGCCATGGGCTGGGAGGGACACCTGTGCTGCTGGGGTGCTGGGAGGGCACAGCCTGGCACAGCTCAGTTCTCATCTGCCATCTCCAGCATTCCACAGGGCCGGCTCAAGAGCCTCCCCAGCCAGAAAAGGTTGCTGAGGCTCTTCAAGGAGCTTCTTTTAAAATGGAGAACTGTCTCCTCGTGGTCTGGCTGGAAAAACCTGTAAAGCTGCTCTTCTCCCATCACTGATCCATTCCAGGCCCCACCCAGCACCAAGATAATGGATCACTGACTATTTCACTTCTGCTTTGCTGCTCTCAAAACACTTCAGTCACTGTCTCCATGCTGTTTTCATGTCTGGGTTTCTGTAACACCACCTATCCTGTTCCTGAGGCAGGATTATCAGCCTGCCATGCCTGCCCCTTCCTGTTTTTTTCTATAATCTCAGCCAGACTGCAGGTTTTGAAACTAAGAGACCTGAAAATGGTTAGAACAGCTTCTCTCTGCTCTGCTCTAGGTATGGAATCAAAGGTGCAGCTTACATGAAAAACAAAGAGGGCTTGGTCATCTCCTGCCAAGGGGCTGGGAGCTGCCAGTGGAAGCCTGGATGCCTCCATCGCTCTCAGCATAAAATCACCTCCACTACAGCTACTGGAGACTCCATGACCTTGAGCCTTTTTGATCACATTACAGTGAGTATCTCTTGTGAAGGGAGGAAAGGAAATGGCACCATCAGAAATTCGAACACAGTATTGCTTTGCAGGTGAGGATCCTCGTGCAGAGCTCCCGCTGCCACGCTGAAACCATCAAACTGGAGATCATCAGCAACACCCCACACCACACTGCGGACACCGAGGCTGCCCAGAGGAGTCTGCACGGGGTGAAGTCTGAGCTGGTGAAGGAAGTCAGCCAGTCTGCCGAGGAGGCCCAGCGTGCCCAGGACAGAGCCAGGCTGGAAGTGATGGATGAGGAGTCCCGGGAGTTCTGCCAGACCAAGGGGCCCAGCCTGTACCAGCTGCTGGAGGAGATCCGGGAGCTGGCACTGCTGGATGTGACAGAGGACATCAGGACTTGAACTGGGACCTGCCCCAGCTGCTGGGGCTGTCCCACTCCTGTTCACTGTGCACAAGTGCTTGGGGATCTTTAAAAAAGCAGTTTATTTAAATATTCAAGAGTCCTTTCAATAAGAAGCTAAATGTCTATTTTAAATAAGAATTATTTTTATCTGATTATGAGTATGGATGCGTTATGAAAATATTTTATACCTGATAAAGCTCGTATTTCAGACTAAAGACAGTGTGCTGTGAATTCTTTCAAAAATCATTCCAAAAATTACTTTGCTGATGTTGTCCACAAATTAGGTTCTTCAAACCTAAATACTTCCTTCTTTCCTACAAGGTCATAAAAAGCAAATTCCTTCATAAAGTAACACTTGTTGCCCTGAGGGTAGTGGCTTAATTCAGTGTGTAGAAATTCAGTACTATTTACCCCTTTAGAAGGGGTGATTCCTCTTCATTCTAAAAAGGGAAAAGTTGTTGTGTAAGGAAAATCAGGACTCTAAGAAGAGAATGAAGCAGAGGCTCAAGCAGAGCAGGATCAGGAGAAGGAAGGTCTCATTCCCTCAGGGGAGGTGCTTGTCTGGGGAGAGATGGGGAAGTGTGGGAGCCCTGGCCTTGCAGCAGCCTCATACAAGAATTTCAGGTTTGACTTTTGAAATTTAATAGCTTCCATTTTATATGAAAAATATATAAGTAATGGATAAGCAGTTAAAAAAAAATCCAGTGCCCCTGTTAAAAAACCCCAAACACACCTTTAATAGCAACTTAATCTATCAACATCCCAGTTCATTCAGTTTAATATAAATTATAAACTCCATTCAAATAGGTCCAAAAACTCATAAACATTTCTTAGAAAACATTTTGGGAGGTGGACAAGATGGCTCAAGTGCAGCTGAAGGACTTTGTTCTGTTTCCTGGTATATGGAGCTGCTCCCCTGTAGCTTCCAGGAACGAGTTCTGTCCTTCAGTGACACCATGGGAAACACTTCCCTGAAGCTTCTGGAGTGCCCAGAGCCAGCAACATTTCAGTATAATGACAGTACTTAAAGCAAGGAGGTCTTTTGGTGAAGAAAGGCATTCACGGTGTAGGGGAGCTACTGCTCTTCCCTGGCACATCCCAGTTCATCATCTCCATCTTCTGTGGGAGCATCCTTGGCTGCAGGACCCTGAATGTCTTCAGTGAGGTCAGGGGCATCCTGAGCAACTGGGCTGTCAAACTCCTCTTCTGAGTAACGACTGGGGAGCTCTGTTGGGGAAAAAAAGAAAAACCATGAGCAGATAAGATACCATTGCTGTGTTTAACTGATGCTTCCATCACCAGAATGGCAGGCTGTGGCAAAGGCAGCTCAGAGATAAGAGTTGCATTTCACCAGAGAAAAAGCTGTCACAGCTTGGTACAAGCACCAGGGAGTTTAACCACAGGAAAACTGTTAAAGTGTAGAGTTGCACATTGCAGCACTCACTAGGGAAGCCATCAGGGCTGTGAGCAGCAGCTCAGGCCCCTGCTCCCACAGCAGTGGGGTCCTTACCCTGGGACTGGTGCTGGGACTGGCTGAGGCCCTGCAGCCGCGCCCGCCGCCGCTCCAGGGCCAGCTGCCGGTTCTTCCTCATGCGCTCCTGCTGCTCCTCCGTCAGGCTGGGCCCGGGCAGGGAGCTCAGCTCCTCTGCACTGCCCCAGGGCGAGTGTGCATCCTCAGCAGCTTCGTCCCGCCCATTGCTCGCCCCTTCTTCTGCTCAAAAAGGGAAGAGGGGCAGAATCAACACTTGAAACCCACAGAGATCCACAACACATCAGTCAAGAGAATATTCTGAAAGCCTTTCTGTGTTCTACATTTTGTATTGACAGCTGAAGCTCATTCCATAATTTAATTTTAATGGGATTTTCTGCCTAGGCCCACATCCCCAGTATTCAAAGGGCACAAGTGCTCAGAGCTCACACACACAACAATCAATGCCTGAGTGCAGAGGCACAGTGCTAACTCACTGTGTACTGAGTTAGCAACAGCAGCTGTGCTTGGAGGGTCAAAAGGAACAGGAAATCCAGGCAATCCTTAGGGCCAGGTCTTCCTCCCAACACTACTAATAAAACACTGTCCTTTAGAAAGTGGCAGGAGTCCTACAGGAATTCCAACCTTTCAAGGCCAGGCTGTGTGGCACTAATTGAAGGTGGGGATGTCAGGGGATGGAACAGGATGGGTTTTAAGGTCCCTTCCCACCCACACCAATCCAGGATTGTGTGAATCAGAAGTCTGAACACATACATTGAGTACTCGGCTCTGAATTCAGTGTGCTCTATTACAGAGATATTTACTCATCTGCCAGCACTCAAACATGCAAAGTGGAGGCAGTTCAGCCAAACTTCACCCACCCTCAGAGCAGCAGAGCACCCAAGGCCTCTGCACCACTTTAAGCCTGTGAATAGAAAGGAGAGCTGACAAAAAGGTTGGGTTGCTAATACAACAGCCCAGCCTGAGGCTTTATTTGGCACAGTTCCTCCCCTGAAGGCTGCAGCAGTGCCCTCAGTGCCCCAGGGGCACACTGGCAGGGCAGTGTGTGGAACCATCGCACAGAACAATCCGATCCCTCTGCAGACGCTGTCGGCAGGAACCACTCGTGTTGCTGTCCGTGGCTGCCTCTGGCTGCAGGGCAGCTCTCACACTGCAGCACAGGCAAGGCAGCCACGTGTCACCAAGGGCACCCCAAAGCCCAGGCCAGCTGTTTGCATCATCAACTCATCCACAACACCATTCCCAAGCACTGCCTGGGCTGGAGCTTCACGTATGGGCAGACAATGCTCTCACAGAAACTGACAGCAGAAATGCAAAACCCTGCACAGATCCTTAGGAATGACAATGAAATTCCCTCCTTTCTGCTGTTAAAGTTTCTTACAAACTACCATGTAAACTCTACTTCCTTTTTAATTAAAAAACTGGTTTTGTCTAATTTCTGTTTGATTGGAAGAGACTCCTGCCTTACATCCTCAGTAAGTGCTGGGTTTTGATCCTGGCAGAGGGGATTCTCCCAGAGCTGTGTGCCAGCTCTGACAGACACAGCAGTGCCCCCAGCACGAGCAGGCACTCTGCCTATGAGGGACAGCACCCCCTGACTGCACTGCCACTCCTCACAATAACCAGCATGAGTTGGTGATTCCTGCTTTAACAGGATCCAAGAGCTCTCCAGACTGCTCATGTGAGAGTGCAACACAAACCTAGGTGCTCAAAAATTGCAGGTTTAGGGGGTTTTTTGGAAGAATATTTCTAACAATGCTGGTTAATCCCATTTTCTATTTCCTTTCAGCAGATCATGCAATTTTATTTATTTTTACACACACGTGCAAGTACCAGTTCAGTTGTGTCATCATAAGACTCACAGAAGCCTGGTTTTAAAGCACAGACCTCTCAACAATTTCTTCTACACTAGAAAAGCCTATCATGATCATTCATTTCTGGTCAGTAGGAAGGGAAATAAATAATCTTAAGCACTGAAGAACTGAACAAATAGCAGAGAGAGCATACCTTCATTATTTTTGAAGTCTTCATGTAAAATAGGAAGATCAAGCCTGATCCGCTTGAGGCAGGTCTGCAGGTGGGACATGAAAAGACTGGGGTTTCATCTGCAGCAGGTTTTTATGCTCAACTTTGGGAGCATGGGAAAACCACAGCAATTTTACACTTTGTTACTCTGAACAAACACTCTCACTTCAGGTCCATTTGACACACAGACCTCCAGTGCTGGGATCATCTTCCCAGTCCTTCACCTATCACCCAGCTAGGTGAAGCTGAATTCTTTATCAGTCTTCTTTTGCAGGTTCAAACATTAAAAATCAACCAAACAAAACCCAAACCCACAACCAGCTCCAGTTGGTTAAGCAACTTGCTGTGGTTAAAGATGGCCTGAAAATGCTGAAGCCAATTCTCTGGAGGATTACTTCAAATAAAGAAAGGTTGTATCTAAATATAAACATTAATACTAGACAAAGCTCTAAATTGAGAGAAATTTTACTTCTGAGCAGTATGCACAGCCTACATCTTCTTTAACTGCATAATTGATCCCCTAAACCTACTTCATGCACTATTCCAAACACCACGAAGAGCTGACAGATATACATACCTGAACTTCCTTTTTGTTTCCCAAAGACTCCACTACGTCAATAAAATCCTCAAACTGCAGTTTTGGGAACAGTCTGTGAGCCCAGTGCTCCATGTGCTGGATCAGAGTCTTCAGGTCCTCTGCCTGGAGCAGGAAAGACAACACCAGCTGCTGAAGCTGACAGAGGGGAGATGCAGGGGGCAATGGGGCAGCAGTTCCTGCACACATGGAGCATCTGCAGCCTGACAGTCTCTGCAAAATGGCAGCAGGACCAGGGTGGGGGGAACCTTCCCTTCCTCCTCCCACAATCCATGGCAGGGGAAGCTCAGGCTGACACAAGTTCAGGGGAGCATCTGCATATCCTGTCAAACATCTGCAGGTCCTGAGGCATTGTCCTTAAGCAGGGCTGAACTCAGGCTGGAATAAATCCACAGGGGCACAGCTGGCATTGCTCCTGATGTTTAGAATGCAGATACATCAAATTAGGCTGATCTAGGAAAGGTTTTTGCACCTTTCAGCACTACTGCCCAGTTCCTGGGTGCTCCAGTGGTAATGAGAGCACATAAACCAGAGATGCACAGGAGTCCTTGCAGGGTGCCAGGAGAATCATGGAATTGTTTGGGTTGGCAAAGTCCTCAAAGATCACAGACTCCAGCCACTCCCCCAGCACTGCCAAGGCCACCAGTATAACATGTCCCCAAGTGTCACATCTGAATGCCTTTTAAATCCCTCTGGGGACAATGACTCCACAGCACAGGCTGCCCAGGACTGGACAACACTGCTGAAGAAATTTCCCCTAATAACCAACCTAAACCTCCCCTGGCACAACGTGAGCCTGCTTCCTCTTGTCCTATTTTGTTTGTTACTTGGGAGAAGAGACCGACCCTCCCCTGTCTACAACCGACTCTACAAGGATGTGTAAAGGAAAATAAGCTCTGCCTGTTGAAGTGCACCCAAAACAATCAGAAAGCTTGTAGAGAAAGTCCTGCTTTCTCTTGGCTCAAGTGCTATGTCACACTTTTTTTTAAAAAACTTGGGATTCGAAACCCTGCTTGTATGGACAATACAAGAATCACAGATGGGATATTCTACTTTTAGAGGAAAAGAATTTTATAATCAAAATATGGATTTTTTTTTTAAAGCATTTCATGTTTGTTGTAAAGTTTGCAGCTCCAAACAACACGAGGGCTTGTTCAGGTACTGCTGGGAAGCTGGCCAGCAAGAGTCCTAGTAATGCTCCCCATATCACATGGGCAGCTCTCTAGCAAACCTGCATTCACCTCCCAGGAAACAAAACCCAGCTCACCAGCTCTTACCTCGTGCCCTTTGCCCTTGAACTTGACATTGTCAAACATGCGTCTCAGAGCTGGGAGCCCTCTTTCTGAAGTTAACCTGGGAATAGGAAATGGGGCAGTTATTTGAAACCCACTTTCTTCTTTCAATTAACAAGTAAAAGAAAAAAAAACAAAGAAAAAACTCTCACATTTCTGGAAACAGCCTAGAGCTTGGATTCTTTCTGTTGGTTATAAAGAACTCACAGCAGTTTTAGAGGTACTGTAATCATTTTCTCTCACAACCCTACATCAAACTCAGCACACAAAGAAATATTCTGTATAAAGTTACCTTTGGGCATCTAATCTAGGCCTTGGTCTCTTTACTGCCTTCTGTTTGGTCACAGCAGAATCCTTTGTTTGGGACTGCTGGTTTCCATCTGGATCTGGGGAAGAAAACAGCATCATTCAAGTATTCAAAGTAATTGCTGCACATTTTAAGTTTCTACTTACATTTCTGATAAGTGCATTGAGAGTACATCCAATGCTCTTATCTCTTCTAAAAGCCAACTCATAAAGAGCAACATTTTGTCAGAAGAGCTTGAGTTTTATGAAGATTCCTTTCTGCACATATTTTCATGGATTCCACAAAAATAAAATTTTTCCCACAAGCTGGAAAGCATCTCGTGATTAACAATTTAAATTTACAGTTTGTTTTCTGCCTATTTTAATGCACTGAAGTCCAACACCACTAATTTCGATTGCACAGTATTAAAACGGGATTTTTAGGGGTCCCGGGTGCTCACCTCCATTAGCCTGAGCCCATTCTGCATCGTCTCTTCCTGGAGAGGCAGGAGGGGGAAGGGGTGGGAATGTTTCGTCCTCTGTGTTCTCATAATCAGGAAGATCAAACAAGTTGTTCTCTAAAGGATCTAGCATTGCCATAAAGAAGCCTTTTTCCCCTCCTGCAGAAAACAACAAAGGCATTTAAAGAGAAGCGGTGAGGCTGCCACAGAAGCGGATAAACGTCAATTATTTACAATATTTACAGATCGTCATACAATTAAACAGCAGTACCATACACAGGATAACACAACCCAGCCTTGCTGAGCCGAATAAAATAAGGGCTTGTGATGTTCCAACTCGCCAAAGTTACTTGGGAGTGGCAGGAATTAACTAAAATAAGTGGATTCCTGACCACAGCGCTTATCCATGGAGCCGCGTGGCACTCACATTCCCCACCAAAGCCTCGGGGGGAGGAGCGGCAATTCCCCAAATTTACAGCGCGCCCACCCACCCCGAAACGCGGGCTGGAGGAGGAGTCCCCGATTCCGGCTGCGCCAGGGAAGCTCACCCAGAGCCCCCGGCCGGAGCGGGCTGGCCTGAGGCGATGTCAGCTGAGGCTCAGTTTCAGGAGCGGTCTCTGGAGCGGGGCTGGCCTAAGGCGATGGCAGCCGAGGTTCTGTTGTTCAGTTTCAAGAGCGCTCTCCGGAGCGGCCCCGGACTGAGGCGGTGGCAGCCGAGGCGCTGTTGCTCAGTTTCAGGAGCGGTCTCCGGAGCGGCCCCGGACTGAGGCGGTGGCAGGAATGGTTCTGTTGCTCAGTTTCAGGAGCGCTCTCCGGAGCGGCCCCGGGCTGAGGCAGTAGCAGGAATGGTTCTGTTGCTCAGTTTCAGGAGCGCTCTCCGGAGCGGCCCCGGGCTGAGGCAGTAGCAGGAATGGTTCTGTTGCTCAGTTTCAGGAGCGCTCTCCGGAGCGGCCCCGGGCTGAGGCAGTAGCAGGAATGGTTCTGTTGCTCAGTTTCAGGAGCGCTCTCCGGAGCGGCCCCGGGCTGAGGCAGTAGCAGGAATGGTTCTGTTGCTCAGTTTCAGGAGCGCTCTCCGGAGCGGCCCCGGGCTGAGGCAGTAGGAGCTGAGGCTCTGTTTCTCTGTTTCTCCGCTTCAGGAGCGGCTCCGGCCGGAGCGGGGCCGGGCTGAGGGGCCGGGGCCGCCCCCGCGCGCGCTGGCTCCCGCGAGAGCCGCGAGTCTCGCGAGCTCCCGAAGGCGGCGGCTCAGGGGTTTTGGCGCCAAAACGCAGTGGGCGGGGCGAGGCGGCTGAGGCGATCCCGGGGCTATGGAGTCCGGGAATGCTCCGTGTGGGAAAGGACATTGCAGAGCATCTCATTCGCATTCCAACCCCCTGCTCTCGGCAGGACACCTTCCACTACCCCAGCTTTCTCCAAGCCCTGTCTAATCTGGCTTTGGACGCTCAGGGATGGAACAGTTGCTCTGGGCAACCTGTGCCATGGCTGCACAACCGTCACAAGGAGGAATTTCATCCTAATA